AGAAGATGTGGGGTACCTTTGATTTTAATTAATCTCAAAATAATAACTTTGTTAGAACAGCCGTAATCTACCACCCCAAGTTCATCATGCAACCTTGTCAAGGGCCATATTGGAAAGAAGCACTCAGGAGTAACTACAGAGAATCGTCAGGATCCGGGCTTTAATTCTGTTACCATTACGTGTTTTGCATGTCTAGGTATGTGACTCCAAAACCTGGGGGCAAGGGACAAAAGAGGAGGGCTAACACAGATCCCAACTTTTTCCTTACTGACTGAGCTTAAGCTTAGGGTGCAGAGGAAGGGACTGACATGCACAGCAGCCAATTCTAAGATCTTCCTTTGAGTATCACTTCAGCCTTTTGCTTTACAGAAACAGCTTGAACAGAGAATGTGGGGCTCTTGCTGTTAATTTACACCTCAGTTACACCAAAAAAAACAGTCCTGGATGTGAAACTTTAAATGATTCTGTTTACATTCATGTAACTTGTAAAGGGGCCAAAAGTAATTTTCCTCACCACACTAATTAAAATAAATAGCTCCACGGCTCTGACTTTTTATCTTGAACCAGAGATAATTGGCCACTGTTCTGTTCCACTTACAGCCTCCCCACTTCATTTAAACCAGAGAACCTGCTGTAGGGGCACACAGTATGAAGCCACCCATCGTCTGAGGAGCCCAGTCCTAGAAAGCTCACCGGCCCACGCCCAACTCCCTCCTCTACACCGGCAAAGAGCTCTGACCCATTCCCGCCAGCATCGACAGCCAAACTCCCACTGACTTTTAAGAGACAGAGGAAGACACAACAGCTGTGCAATTAGCCCTTTGTTTTCCAACTTCATTGCTTAGTCAACGTTTTCAGAGGCAAGATCATACGCCTCTCAACATCTGACAGTGCTAAACACCAAAATTAGCCTAGTTCATCTCAGCTAGAGAGCAACCTTATGAAAACTGTGACCAAAATAATCCATTTGCACACCAAGACATATACAAAATGGATTTTAAACTATGGGCTGCTCTAATGCAAGACATTTCAAAACCGCCATGAAAAAGCAATACAGATTGACAGCCCAGATCATTTAAAAAACAAGCGTGCAGAGGGAGCCCTGAACTTGGACAGTAAGAAACGTTCGTGAACGCCTCAGCTCTGGCCCGCCAGCCCAGGAGCAAGCACATCACACTGATAGCTGGAATCCAACTCAGATTCCTGCATCACAAAAGAAGTTGGTCAGGTTCTCCTCTGCTCATACATTAAACAAATGGGTTTTAACCTCAGAATAACAAGAAACACTACTTTTTGAATAGTCAAGCATGAATAATTTTTTACCATCTTCCACCACGTTTTATATTTTAAAAGGCAATAATTTAAACCTCAGACTACAATTGTTATTCTCATCAGAGAAAACAGATTTCATATGCAGTATGGGTTTCACATTTTCCATGTTAGTGGAATATAGTGTATTTTGGATAAAAACCGGATAACTTTTTCGTCAAATTGCACACAGCCAAACTACCCAGGACTTTTTAGTTCCTTCAGGGAGCTAACATGCATATTGTTTTTTCCTTTGCTTTTATGATACAGTCTACATTCAGAAATATCCTGCAAATAAGCCTTAAAAAAAAAAAAAAGAAAAAAGAGGAAAACAAAACCAAAAGAAAACAACTCTAATAAATAAAATACATTAAAATAAAGTTACAGTACATCATGTCTCCTAGAAATCCCATCGCACCAAAGTATCCTTTCCAAGGTTCATAAATAATAATTTGAAATGCTTCTCGGCACCGAGGGCGGCAAAGCAGCAGCAGGCTGGGGTTCAGGATTTTGAGCCGCTTCTTTCCGGTCTACCTGCCCCTCCGGCGCTTCCCCAGTTTCAGACCCCCTGGCGCAGGTCCGCCACGAACGCTCTTAGTCCCGCTTCCCCGAAGCGCTCCGTGAACGCAACCTGCAGTGAGACAGAGAGCAGAGGGCAGCCCGTGAGGCGAAGCAGCGGCACCCGGAGCGGGCAGTGCCCGGCGGGAGCGGCGTGGGGCCGGTCCGTACCTGCGCTAGGCGGAGTTGGACGCGCCGCGGAGGCGCGGGCCGTGGGGAGCCGCCAGGTGTTGCTGCTTCTGCCGGGTGGAGCGCACGGCCAGGATGGCCTGGCGGTTCTTGTACTGCACCATCTGCAGCGTGATCGCCGCGTTCCAGCCCTGCTCCTGCGCGCACCGAAAGTCGATCTCCTTCCCCTCGGCCATCACCACCGTGAAGTACACGTACTTGCCCTTCCGCTCCACGCAGTCCACCGTCTTCATGTTGGAGAAGTGAAGCTCCTTGATCTTGGCCGCCGGCTCAGCCGGCAGCGGCGGCTGCTGCTGTTGCTGCGGCGGCGGGGGGTGTTTGGGGGGGATGAGGAGCAGCCCCTCCTCGGTGAGGATGCATCGCTTCTTCTTCCAGAGCTGCAGCAGCCCGTCGCTCCTCTTCTCCAGCATGCCCTCCTTCACCGCCTTGCAGCCGCCCTCCAGCATCCTTCTGGCAGGGTTAGACGGCCTCCGTCCGCAGGGGCTGGGCTCGGGGGGCAGCCGGCACCAGCCGAGGACTCTCCGCCGGGCGCCGGCTCCGAGGCGGAGGGCCGGGAGCGCCCCGGCCCGCAGGAAGCGCAGCGGCTGCCGCCCGTGCCGCGGCGTGGCGGGCGGCGGACGCTGCCGGTGCGGGCGGCCGGGGCTGTCGGCGGGCTTTTCCCTGCCCTCCGCTTTTGAACGCGCCTCTCCCACCCCAGAGTGACACCCAGCGGAAACGGCGGCTCCTCCCGCCCGCCGGGCGCGGGGAAGCCCCGCACGGTGCAGAGCGGAGCGGAGCCGAGGGGCGCGGCGGAGCAGCCCCGCCCGCGAAGCGGGGCCGGGGGCTGCGCTCCCAGGCAGGGGGCCCGGCCCGGCTCCCCGCCCCTTCTCCAAGGTGCAGTGGCCACGGCAGAGCTCGGCGGTGCTGAGGCAGGAAGGGTTTCCCCGCCGTAGTTAACCACCGGTAGACTAATGCAGGGAGGTTAACAGGACAATTCAAATGCTCTATAGCGCTCGTTTGCCTTCCTCGGGGTGTTCCAGCAGCATTTGTTTGAAACAGATTTCCTCAGCCTGACCCCGTGGGGAATAGCAGCAAAGGGCCCTCCTCCGTGTTTTTTATTCAAGCCCAGTATAACCGGTGCCAATTTTTAGCAACACCCTGATATTTAAGGGATCATCGCTCCATTAAACAAAGGAAACAGCCTGACACACAACCTGGTACAACGGCTTGATCCCTACGCTTCCGAACGGCTTCCGGCTGTGCTGAGGAGAAGCAGCTTCAAATGTGTATATATATATATAAAAAACCCTCTACTTTCTGCAGCACTTCCAGTAATATCTAAAGAAAGCAAGTATCCATATCACTTCCCAAAGTAAACAGTAGAACCTTGGTACTTGGAAATTGTAAAAGCAGACTAGAGAAAACAAACAAATAAAGAAACAAACCCAAACTGGCAACAGTTACGACCATTTATCTGCTTTGTTGCCACACATTTGCTTATTGTTCAGATTCTCCCCCGAGGTTAGCTTTTTAATAATTTTATTTGAGCAGAAAAGTGACCTAAGGTTAATATGAAAGTATTTTTTAGTCCTTTGATGTATTAGATGTAAATCAAAAGCCCACATAGCTGAATTTGGCAGTACATTATGGCCAAAGTAAACTGAATGCTGGAAGTTTCATACTACATTTGAGATAACTGCATGTTTTTAAACATGCATTTATCATGGCCACAAAGAAAACCTCCTTGCAGTAATCTTGGCAGCTAGTAAGCAGGTCATGCTGCAGCATGTGCTGTGCTCTAACAGCACATTAGGAAAAAAAAAATCAACATTAATGATAGCTTTAATGGAGTTTATCTTTGATAACATTTTTAAAGGATTTCCTTTTTAAATCTTTTCCTCTTGACGTTTAAAGTAAATTTTGATAAATTGTTGAGGTGTAAACAATTAAGGTAATAACAGCAATTAGAATTTAGCTGGTTTACCCTTCCTGAGGTAACTGGAAGACACTCAAATCAGTAACAAAAGCAAATTGGCTAACCACAAACTAAACAAAAAAGAGAAATGAATATCTTAAAATATCCATTTATGTAAAGAATAGTCCTGTCTCCTTAGAGCTGAATAGATATGCTCTAAGATACAGTTCATTCTCACAACCATCCTATGCCCATTTTAACAGAGGCACATGCTGATTTTCCAAAGATTTGAACACCATTCACTACTGCCTCAATCTGCAGTTCAATACCATTTGAACCTAAATTCCGCAGCACAAATATGTGCACCTTCAGCTGCTGGTGCATATACAAGGTGCCTCACAAATGGCCTGAGTGACATCCCTTTTCACCTGATATGTTTTGCACCTACTCCTTCACTCCTAATTCTCTGCTCATGTGACACACTTAACTTTGAAACTGTCCAACTAAACCAAACTGGTTAAAATGCATTCACCTATACAGAGCAGCTTAATTAAAATACCAAGTTTACATAAGGCATAGGACACTGGCCTACACCTACACAAGACCAATTTCTAACAATTCACCTGTTCAGTTCTGGTTGCTGCTCCATCGCTCTAAGTGAACAGCCATTTGATTCCTAGTAAATGCATTAACCAGTAGTGTGGAAATTCGCATTAGATTCAGCAGTCCCACATGTGACACTGTGTAACAAGCATTCATGAACTTTCCCACCCTCGCAGAACACTGCACTGTTACACTTAGGGACAATAGCACACAACATATACTTTAATGTGAGCTTTTTCGCTTGTTCTCAGTACTAAGAGTAAATTGCAGTTAACCAAAGGAAAAAAGTGAGACTAGTGTGGAAGGACAAATGTTTTCATCAAATATACTGGAGAAAGGGACTAAATTCATTCCACTTTGCCCTTCCATGGCATAAAGTTCTCTGAAGCACTGAATGTGGGATTTTTAACCCAACCCTAAACACTGAAGGACATACTCTGCTAATGGATAGACTTACAACAACTGTTTATTCCTGGTGAAATTCACCTAAGCATGTGATCAGAAGCAAACATGCAAAACATCCATTTAAACTTGTACTCTGTAAGCCAACAAATATTAACAGCCATTTAAAATACACTACATTTGACTAAACCCACCAAAAGCTAAGAGAATGGGGTAAGATGAAATACTGACAATTACATGGTAAAAGAACAAGATAACCCAATTTAATTGTGCAGAATTTGCTAGTAAAGGATAACAAACTTCATTTTCCTAGATGCAAGTCAAAACTGAACTTTTGTAAATATTTATGTTACTATTTTGAAAAACCACATTCAATACAGTTAAGCGCACTACATTATCCCAATGAGATTTTACTTTCCTTATAATATACATTTAAACCACTGCAATTTTATTAAATGTTCCACATCTGCTACCTTTATTGCAGTTTCCACCATGCAGGTTCTGCATCCACCCAGAAATGGCTGATGAGAAGATGCCTCCTACTGTCAAACCTGAGATACTACAACCTGAAAAAACACCTAATCTGATTCCTTGAAAGCCTCTACCATGTGAGATACATGTATTTCATACTGAATTTTTCCTTTTCTGTGTTCAAAGTTGATACTGGTAACAGAAATGCTTTCTTGTTAAATACTCTGGTCTCCTGTATCATAAGCTTCCTAACTTTGTTGAAATTTTGTATGTCCAACCTTAATTAGAGAATAATTATGGTTAAGAGTATTTAAAGTCTTCTTTTTAAATCCTGAGGCAAGTTAAACATTGTTTAGGGAAGTGACTGTGAAAAACTAAAAAGCTCATATTTTCCTAGTGTTCTGCCAGAATCTGCAGACAGCAGCTTGACATCACCTATCAACTATTAGTTTCAAAGGGATGCTAAACCTATCCTGAGCGAAAACCCTGAAGCATCATAACTTCTTCTGAGAAGTGACTAAAACAGAAAAAGGGTTAAGAAGGAAACTTAAATGAAATATGAGCTGGTCATTGCTAAACAGAAGGAAAATGAGGGAGAAAATAAGTCAGGGGAAATTTCATGAGAAATACATGACAAATAGATGTGTTGCAATATGTCATTAAAGCAAGTGGACAGTAAGTGGCTAATCCTTAACGGATTTTCTTGACCATTACTATCTCCCAGTAATTTCACTGGAACTTGCTGCTGACAGAACACTGAAACACTGAACAGGTGATCTCAGGGAGAGACTTTTCTTTTTATGAACTCCCTCTCACAGACAGCTGTATAAACCTTCTTCTTCCAAAAATATTAAAAAAGTACTTAAGCACACATTGTAGAGAAAAACTAGTCTGTAAAGGGATTTAAGTTTCTCAGACTTGACCACCACAGTAAAACATTCTGCAAGTTCAGAACATACTGTTTCTCCACTGCAGGGCAAACATAAATTTGGGCAATTACTCACAACACTGAAGGACATAGAAGCCAAGCTCATAACAGGGTCTGAGCCCCTCCTGCAGCTGCAGAGCCAACTCATGTTGTCAATTTACATGCTTTAGTTAAATGCCTGTGAACAAAAGAACCCTTCTGCCGCAGCCCCTCACGCCTTGTACACCCATTTCTGGTATACACCAAGCAGAGCCAAATATAGAATAGCTTATCTGTACTTTGTGTGTCATCCTGCCTGCTTTACTTGTTCTGATTTTCCTAAAAAGCTGAGAAACAAGTCACATGTGGAAGACTACTAGGCCTTGCCAAAGGTCTAACAGGAGGATTTAAAGAGCAATGAGATAAATCTTGTCCAACATCCCACATGGACAAACTTCAACTCCTCTTGCTAGTGTATAGAAGTAAGACTTACTATTTCCAGTAGGGAATTTATGTTCTCTTCAGGTAAGCATTAGGAATTATTTCGACACCTTTTTGAAAACTTGAGGGGAATCAGTGCATCTCAAACAGAACTGAGCAGTTATTAAGAAACAAAACTGGAGGTGTGGTAGCAACAGCTTCTCCAACCTGCACAAGAAAGTCTTGGATTGAAGGAGGATACATCTGCACAGAATAAAGGAAAAAGTGCTGTAGAGCTGAGTCTACCTACTATCTACCTATATCCATGCACCTGTAGCCCCAACCTAGCAGACCATGAAGGCTGTTCCATACAGAAATGCCTTCATTATCAGGCTGCCCCCTCTGTACAGAGGGGTTTAGCATTTTGCTTCCTTAAGCCACTGAGAATGCCACACCACAATCCTCTGCCCAACAGAAAGCATCTGAGAAACAACTGCTGCATAGATACTTTAGGAAATAAAAAACTTTCGGCAGACAAGTTAATCGCCCATCCGTATATAAACTTCCCATCAATTTCCAAGTCAGGTCTACAACAACTAGCCTTAAAACACAGGGAAAGTTGAAGTACCAGCTGGAAGGCAAAGATGAACACATTCAATTTCTGTATTTTTCTATATTCCAATGAGGTTTTCACTTAAAAACCAAAACATGTCAAAATTACAGTATCTGCCATTAGCTTGGGAAACATCAGTTCCAAGAATCCAAGTAAGAATCCAAGCTTATGAAGCTAGTTAGCTGTAGGAGACATTGGTAAGCAGCGTTGCTATGATAGTGTTCATGTAATCCAAGGTAACACTTCTAACTGCACCTGACATCACCCTTCTCCAAAAAGTAAACCCTCAGAATACTAAGCTTAAATTTGGTCTCCTTTATTTCAGGATGCTGTCGGGGTTTTTTAATTATTATTTTTTTTAACACAACCAAAATTTTATCAGACAGGCAAACTCTTTAGTCCTAATGTAATCTAATCTAGATTGCTAAAAGTATAGAATTATGAAGAACCATCCCCTCTCCATCAAGTATAAACTCTGAGCACACTTCACTGTCATTCAAGTCTCATTAAATTCTCCTACCTCTTCCCTCACCAACCTCCCACTTTTCTTCAAGATAAGTCACCCTTTGATACAGCAACCAAAACTGGACAGAAGACACCATTTACACAGATGCTAAACTTTGGTGTGGTACTGCAACTACTGCCCAAGAAATTCCATTTCAGTGACATATTTTTCTAGCATGAGCTTCTTAACATGGTAACTTATCCTTCTCAAATACTAAATGAGGACATGCTCTATGTGAAAAGAATGAGTCATAACACTCCAATCAATGTTGAAAGTTTAATGTTCCTGCTACATACTGCCTTTCAGAACTGCTAAACAACAGTGTCGTTGATAACAAAACTATGTTAAGCACCAAAAGTTTTTATTTAACCAATGCCATAAGAAATGGCACCTTATTTATATTTTATCCTTCCTTTTGCTGCAGTCTGGAGACCACAAGAACTGCTGCTTTAGAACTAGCAAGTCAGTCCAGAGAGAAGCTTACCAAAATCTGTCAGTAAAGATGGATTCATGGCCCTGGATCTTGCAGGCTGCAGGTGTGCTCTGACATGTACCAACTCCCCTTTTGAAATATTGTATCCCATTGTATGTTATGAAGATGTTAAACGAGACAGCAATCAAAGAACAAGCCAAATTTGTTAAGTACAGTGAATTTTGAAACTTAGACAACTTTTAACAGTTCATTTTCTTTTTAAGATACAGATTCCAGATGCTGTTAGCAAAAATGGGCTAGATCTAAGTAAGGACTTCAGAGACTTTGCATGTCCAGAAGTATGAATCCCAAAGCCCCATATTAATGACTGCTCAAGCTCATAACATGCCATTAGTTTGGTCTCCACATGCCCTGAAGTTTAAACCTAAACCTGGGAGATGCTCAGCAAAGAGACCATGTGAAACCCAAACACCTGGCAGGGTCACTGCCTCAAAGGATACGCATATTCTGGTATCACAAGAACAAAACCACACCTACTTTATCACACACCTACTAGAGAACGATTGTTAACCTTTCATAACTGTGTTTTTCTATGCTATGATATATGTGTTACCTAAAAAACACCCAAGATCACAGCTTCAACAGTCCTGTTTTATATACAGCTATAGATAACATGAGCTCCTTTTCCCAAATCCATGGATATCCTGAGAGGGACAAAGCCCGACAGGGATTCTGAAATGAAGCAGTGTGATATTTAAACCTTCAAGGCATTAAAAATAAGAACAAATAAAACAAAAAACAGTTTAGTCAGAGGACACTAGACCCACATCCTCTCAGGGGGCCTGATGATTCAGAAGGGCACTTGGGATAAGGTTCATTCTGCATTACTTACCCTCCAAGCAAGAGACACGCTAGAGAAACTCTTCTACCAGCCCTATCCTCATGTTATTGACTCCTGCTTGCCCTGGTCTTTCCAAACTAAGTCAGTATAGGAGTGGCACAAAAAAAAAAAAAAAAGTAGCTACCGAAGAAATAAATCCACAGATAGCTAGACATTTCTTTCCAATCCTACAAGGACCCTTCTATGCCCAAAAAAGCTCTCTAACTACTTATTTAGAAGATCAGAACTGATATAGTTATCTGTGAAGGACAAGACTGCACAGAGTACAGTAGCATGCTACTGACTGGGAAAACTCAGCATACATAAATTCACAGTCTCCTTCAGCTGAGTGAGTTCAAATCTACATCTCCAGCATCATCCAGCACCTCCACTAATAGGCTAGAGGCAAGGTTAGAATGAGAAAGGTCTTCTAGCCCATGTGTTTCAACTGAGAATAAACATCCAATATGGACAAAAGTATGAACCAGAACGTGCCAACACAAGCACATGAACAGAACATTAGGTGAAGAAAGAGGAATTCTTTTTGGTTTGTTTCCTCCTCCACAGATGATACAGAGCTAAGTGTTCTAGCACTCCCTTCGGCTGCAGGGTAGGTTTTGTTCAGGATAACATAGCTCTGTTCTACACAGACTGAAAATCCAAGGCACTTTGCTTCAGATTTCATACTAATATGCAATGCCTTAAAGTCAGGCACAGCAATACTGAAGTCCTTTATCAGATCTAGCCCCATTTCTAAGGACTTGTCTTCTCTAAAATGGCAGTGTGGACCAATCACTGGAACATCTAGCTCAGATTCACAAGTATCACACTGCAAACGGAAAGTACTGATCAAACTTTCCAAACTATTGTGTTTGTTTTTCAAATGCTATATAACTTACTTGTCAGTAATTATCAACGTTTGTTTCAAGTAAAACATGAACTGCAGCATGTAAGATACATCTTACCAGTTTACACGTGCAGATACAAACATAATAAAACAAGACTAGCTTCTGAAAATACTAGGTTTTATTCACACCCCAGTGGTAAACAATAACCTTAATATGATGACTAGGTTTCTTTTGTAGATCACTGTGTCACATAAAATACAAAACCCATAGCATAAACAAGCTGACAGTTATGAATGTTTAATGTGGTCTCATTGGAAATTAAACAAGTTATACTAGTCTTCTCAAGTAGTCAAATTCAAAATGCATCATCATCTCCTAGTTAGTACAAGTCACTGCCATTTCTATAACAAAGTAATGAAGGCACAGCTAGTGCAAGCAGACTTAAACCCGTTCAGACTACTGGGCTGAAAAATACTTTGGTTGGTTCTTCAGGAGAGAGTTTTCTCTAAACAAATATTGGTCTCAGTTAACAGTTCTGATAATCTTCACAGCTGCAGTCTAATAGCTACATGACAAAGACTTCACAAGAACCAAACTATGTAGCAATGAATTAACATTCATGCTTTAGGGAATTTACTGCATTCTACATATTGGCAGAAAATTATACTGTTAAAATGCTAGGTAGATTGAACCTACATTTTAAACTGGTTCTTATGTGTTTGATTTCTTTTTTTAACAAATTGGTTACTTAATTCTACCAAGATACAAAACATAAGGCTGTAAGTAACTAATAGTTGTGTTTAGGCTATTACAGTGCAGGTAATCCTCAAGGCCACATACACACTGCTTCACTGCTGCTTGCATTCTGCTGGGTTTTGATCCTTCTGTTGAGAAAAAAGGAAACATTAGTTTACAGAAATCTGAACTTTAAAAGAACTATCAATATTGCTAAACATGCATTCTTAAGCTGCAGTATTCAAGTTCTTCTTCCATCTTTTCCCTTGCACTAATTGTCTAGTATTAGCAATACTGCTCTCTTTGGACACAGCATTTATTTTGATTTTGTTAGTGCATTGGTATACAATCCAGAACAAAAACCTATTCAGAACCGAGTGTGGCAAAACACTCTGAAAGACACTGTAACTGTAAAAAGGAGAAGTGTTACATGTAGTAACAAACAACCCAGCTCAGAAGAAGCATCCAGGCCTTCTACTCAGTTTAAGACAAAACAAACTTCCTATGGGCAGTAAAAAGGGTATGGTCTTATTCCAGAAGCCACCCTAGAGCAACCACCCATTAGATCAGAGACTAATAATGAAGATCACTACATCTGTACAATTGTTAACAACTCAAAAGGTAGCTTTCGGGAAGGATGAACTGGTAAAGTTGACTAAACTAATGTGATTTGGAGAGCAACTCCAAATCACAGTATATTCTTAACACTCTGAAAACGTCTAACAAATTCCAGTTCTCAGAAAATTCTAACATGGAAAATTTCTTCTGTTTTAGTGAAACAGAAAACCAACAATGTCACAGTAATACAGGAATTTAAGGAACAGGTTTTTTGGGGGCAGAGTTCAAATGCAAGTTTTACTCTAATACCTTGGTCTGGATATCTATTCTAGGACCACAGTGCTTTAATAAATTCAGCTGGCTTATAGCCCGCGATCAGCTTACAACTATTTATCCTTATGTCAATACTCTAATCGTACCACTACTGTTTCTAGCCCTCTGGCAGTTCTCTCTGAAACTGAGCATGCAGTCTTGCCCTTTCTCAGTTCTGTTTCTCTAAGAAAAGCAATATGTGAAATGGTCAAAATAAGAAGCCCAACTTGCAGATGTTTCATTTTGATTCCAAAACTTCCTTGACTAGGAAGCAATTTGAATACACTATAGCAGATGAAACATCACCAAGAGGCTGTACATTTTGATTAACAGTTCTTAATCTATGTCTTAGATTACGTAATTCTTTCAATAGTACTTTGATAGTAGCTCAAACCTCTGCTACTGAAAAACACAGTGCCTCCTCATTTGAAATGGCAGGGACATTTTACAGCAGGCATTTCAGAGTACTTCAGACTTCATTTCCATGACTGCAACTTTCACCTACTACCACCAGATGTTTTTAGGTGGCCAGATTTGCCTTTCCCTCAACTATTAAAAAGGTATGAACTAAGTGGTTCACAATCATTTCTCCAGCCTGATTAGTGATTTGCCCTTCCCATGGATTAAGAAACCTGTCAATTGTGCTTGGCTCTTCACATTTTACTACTTGGCTGAAGATACATTCCTGAACCTTGACTTTTGCTACCTTAAACAATAAAAGACTTGCTATTTATCTCCCTTGAAAAAGCCTCAGTTTTGTATTCTGCTGGGAAAATCTGTGCCAGAGCCAGCTTGTAATATGTTTCCAAAAACTGAACCTGGATACGCAGTTCTCTGCATCTCCTTACAATCACTATAGAATATTTACACCATTAGCAGCAACTTGCTGCAAGACAAGTTTATAGAAAACCAAGCCTGACTAACCTCAGGGCTCAAAGTCAAAAGTTACTGTAACAAAATGATTCTTGGAGAAAAAACTTTGTAGAAGTTTCTCTGTCAACATTAGTTTGTCCGAACCAGGACTGAAATGGCCTCAGCCAAAACATATTCACTATAGGAACTATTGATTAAATACTTAAACTAAAATAAAAATTTAATGTACATAAAACTTTAAATATCCATATGTGTACACAAACTTCAAACATTCATTTTAATTCCTTACTTTTGGGTCATAATCAGGATCATTTTCTTCATCTGCTTCTTCTTCCCCCTCCTAAAAGAAAACACTTGTTTATATTTCTCTAGCTTATTCACATTCAGCCTCCTGAGCCATTTTCATGAAAACTAAGATTAAATTATATTCAGAAATACATTCATTACAACTTCATGCTATACATATTGTATTGGCTAACCCTCCACAAAGCATGCCATCTTTTGACATCATTTGCAACTTAAATTTGTATGATACCTTAAGGATTGTCTTAGTTTGGTTTCCATTTTCTTGTTATTCTGTTGTTTTTAAAAAATTATTCATCCTAGATCCACAAAATAATATGCTGTATCTTACTTCCTAAGTAATTCTTAAACTTAGTGTCCAGAGCTTTCAAAAAACATAAGGAACTCTTATTTACATAACAAACTACAACAGAGAAAACATTTGAACCAAAGGCATCTGTCGTCTTACCTCGTCATCTGCCTCTTCACCTTCTTCATCATACTAGAAGAGAAAATAAGTGGTTTTGAAAGCATCATAAATGCAGCCATTTATAGCTCAACTATAGCCAGATAACTCAAGCAGATGGCAAAGACCACACTGTATGGTGCTCTTGAGAGAAGTTCCTGTATCTGTCAAATTTAAAAATGCTGTATGCATCAGCATGAGCAATGTTTAACCTCTCAAGCCAAGCAAGCTCCGGCAGAGGGGACAGCCAGAGCATCCCTTTCCGCAGCACTGGAGGAGCCATTAGACTGCGGTACCACTTGTGGCCGGCAGGGGGCCGTGCAGCCCACAGCAATCCGTAGTCAGCTCCTCCCTCCTCTGCATCCCCACCCAAGGCTTTGGACCAAGGGTTAACAGTTTAGATTCTAAAAATTACATGTAAGACAGACATATCTAAGCTATCTTAACTGTCAAACTGTCCTTGCTTAAGGGGAGGCAAGGGACAGAAAATATTTTACCTGTATAAAATTCTAGGGGGCTTTGTGGTTTGTCGATTTCAAGCTTAGCTCTTTAAATGCAGTTAATTTAAGCTTTTGCAGAACTTGCTTTGAGTATTTTGGCATGCTTTCAATGTGCTTATCTAGCAATTTTTAGTAAGAGTGCACTCTTGAAAGGATGAGGCCTGAATCTCATGAAACTTGGTATCCCAATATCACTACAAGCACAAAGAAGAGCTGAGCAACTAGATAAACAGACTGATTTGTTCCCTGGCAGTTCATTATAATTCTATCAAAGTATTGGGTACACCTCTCTAGAAATGCCTTTACACAAAATTCTGCGAAGACATCCTCTAGAGGTTCAGCTTCCACCATTACTTTTGCCACAAAACTCTGAAGTCACTACTTCAAAGATGAATTACTTTCATGCTTCTCTTTACTCAACACTCTAGGAAGCTCTGCTGAAATCAACATTGATGCATCCCATCTAAAGATACCAATGTCAAAAATAACCAAAGTCTTTAAGCAGCAATATTTCAAAGTTTTTAGTGTTTGGAATGAACACTATACTTACGTCATCATCATCATCTTCAATAGCTTCTCCCGTGAAGTACAATACTGATCGGGGGACTATACGTTCACGCAAGAAATGACCTATTTCAAAGTCTGCAGCGAGGATTGCCTCAGAATCATCATCCTGCATAAAACAACATTATTTCCTAAACCATAAGGTGATAATAACTACTTTTGACAGATAAACACAAGTTGCACGGATTTTGATGGGGTCAGATTTATTCAAATCCCATGTACTGACTTTTTTGTTTCAGGACCTGCTTTAGAGAACTGAAACTGAGGAGCCAAGTTTGACACTTTAAACAGCCCACCTACATTATACAGTGGGAGGCTGCTGCATCAGTAAGCTTAATTATACAAAATTCTGGAGTTTAACTTCTATTCTTCCCCCACCCCCAACTTCCTTTTGTTCCAAGTAGAAAGATTGTTTAATCTTAGTCCCATAGACTTCAGTTCATATGCACAGTACCCTTAAAGTAGCCAGGTGAGCCCATCTCAAAGATTTTACAACCTACTTCTGATTCCTACAGTGCATCTCCTCCATGATTCTCATTAGACAAGCCAGTGTGAAGCACCTGAACACCTAAAATACTCTCTGATCCAGTCCCAGTCTCTCAATCCTTTTGTTTTCACACCAAGTGTTCTGCTGTCTTCCATCTGAGAATTATCTTCAATTCAAAAGGCTTCTTTTCTGGGTTGTTTTTTTTCTTTTTAACATTGTGAACATAGTTTTTGGTGTCCATGCCAACTGGAGTTCTAACTGCATGCCTCTGGAACCTCAATGTCATTTCTCACTCAAGCTGCATAAGGTATTCCTTCCCAACTGTTGAGTATTTTTGGTAGTTTTTCTCCTAACAAAACCATGGCTTATTGCCACAGTGAGCACACAGAAAAGTGGGTTCTTGCATGTTTCTATTATTGTTTTATTACTTTCTCCAAGAGTTAATAGCTCGGGAAACTTTCAACAGAATAAAATACAACCAGATACATTCAACCATTAGATAAAATCAGCTAAACAATGCCTGAAGGGAAAGACCCATTAGATCAGAGACTAATAATGAAGATCACTACATCTGTACAATTGTTAACAACTCATAAGGTAGCTTTCAGGAAGGATGAACTGGTAAAGTTGACTAAACTAAAATCTACCACCCAACTCAACAAATACTCTTTCTAACAAAGAAAAGTCAAATACATACTAGCCCTCACAGGTATTATCAGTTAAATATAGAGGCAGTTAAAGCTGAAGTCATTTAACAACTTCCCATACAATTTTCATAAACACGCCACCACCATATTTTAAATAAGCCAACTCACCAGATCTCCACTTTCGGGAACTGTATAAAAAAAAAAAAAGAGAAGAAACAAGTCAGTGAAGTACATTCTACATTATAAGTTAATGCAGATAAACTAGCGTTCAGCTTACCTTCAGGAGGACTAAAGAAGTTGAAGAAAGAGTCATTGGAAACAGTTTTTGTCACAGTTCTAACTGTTCCACGGCCCTTATGTTTCTGCTTCTTCTTAATGGTTTTCAAAGTAACATTCTTTCCTTTTTTCCAGTCTATTTGACAACTAAAAAGAAAAATGAGAAAAAAACAAACAAAAAATTAGGTGCAGCTTAATCACATTCGCCTTGTTACAAGTACCTACTGAGACCATCCCAACTGCAAGACAGTGCAAAGAAAATACTAAGGTAGTATTTATTCAGTGCTATCTTTTCATTCCTTTATATGTGGAGAACAAGAGTAACAGGCTCATTTTAGGATTGTTTCCATCCAGAATTTTTTCCTCTCCACTCAATCTCTGAAATTCTAATTTTTATTAGATACCAAGTACTGCCTATTTTCCTATCAGAGAACAGTATCACACTGTTTTTAGAGCCACTCATACACTATAATGTCATATTTGGTCACGTTAGTAATATGCCAAAGTTCACCACATCTATCATTACAGTCAATAAATCCTTAAAATAATGCATCAAGCAGGTGTGTAGTTTTTGGCTGATTTTGAGTTGTTTGTTTGTGAGGGTTTTGTCTTGTGTTTATTTGGGTTCTGATGTTTTGGGTTTTTTTTTAACTCTATCCTGCTTACAGAGCCAAATCATACCCACAGACTTCTCTAACAGTCAAAACATTTTGGTGACATGTAAATGAAAATGTCATATCTGTGAAATTATCTGCATTTGCAGAAGTTTCTGATTAGATTCTTTTAAAGACTCAAAGGAATGAAGCGAGTTGCTTCGGGACAAGAAGAGGCTTTCTTAGTTAAAAGACAAAACAAGGACTAGGAATTAACCATTTTCACAGAAGCAGAGTGTGACTGCACATCATACTCTGCCAGGATTCATGGTTTTCAAAAACAGTCCAAACTGGGAAAGACAAAACAGTTTGATCGAAGCTACTCAAGCAACTAAAACTAAATCTTACAGGAGATTTGCAAAATATGTTATATTAAGTGACTGGGAAATTAAGTGGTAAATAAGTCAGTACCAGCAACTGCAGATTATTAAAAGGGTAAAACCAACCATGACTTTACAGTGATAATTTGTAACTTAGTTGCTATCATTCAGAAGACCAGCCAGAACATTAGAGATATGAACATGAAATCAACTGAACAGGCCCAAATGTACCCGGATAATTATGTACAATTCAGGTTTCTCTCGTCCCTGTGTTCACAAAAAAAAAATTTAGCTAATTTAGAACAAAAGATTTCCCTGAAAAGTAGCTTGGAGTTAATAGATGACTGCTCTCCATTTCTCAGATAGACACTCTGAGGCAAACATCTGACACTTATAAAACAAAATGGAAAACTGCAATGTAAGTAGTAAAACTGGAATAGACTTCCCAAAATGCTGCATGTCAGAAATACAAAAAGATTAAAAGAAGTTATTAAATAAATTTTGGATAAAGCTATAAAGGACTACTAAAAGATAACACCATCCACCTTCCAATTAATTTTTAGCGATTTGCAGAACAGGATTTCTAAATAAATACTGATCACATGTTTATGTATATGCATATATAAAATTTACGCTTATAAATCATGTAATATAAATAATATATTTTCTATACTATATTGAAGTTATAACAACTAAAAAATTCGAGACAAACCCAGTTGTTCACAAGTTATTAGAAGTATCTTTTGCAGCGCCTTCCCAAGATGCTGTAAAAGCCTACAGTTGGTTAATACTAAGGAAGAAAGTGTTATTGCCTTAAAGCTGTTAGTACTTACCCTGTACAACCCATGATTTCCGGTCCATCAAAGGAGAAGGGATCAGAATCATCTGGTTCTGACCTCATTCTATATGTCTTTGTCAACACTTCATTTGTGAAGTAGTCGTTTGGTTCAAAATGAAATTCTAATGTGAAACTCTTAAAAAGAATTGCAGAGCAAGAACTTTAGTAATTTACAACACATACCTTTAATTTCTGAATATCTAAAATCCAAACCTGAGAAAAACCACGTGCAACAGAATACACCCTTCTCCTCCAATACATCCATAACTTATTGTAGAATTTGCTACCAAGTTGTACAAAAAATCTTCAAATATTTTAATTTATCATGTTGATCTTGTTCTTGTTAGTTAATATACTGTTTGCAGTAATGACAGAAGATCTCCTAGTGTACAGCTTTCCTGATGCTAATGCATAAGAGAGAACTTCTAAATTTAAAAATATCAGAACTTAGAAAGCTGCTTGATTTCTGTCAGGAAAATATATCAAATTGTAACAGTTATACAGAAAGTACCTAAAGGTATCAAAATGCAAAGGTGAAAGTCATCAGATATTAAGGCCAATCTCATCAGAAGTTGAAGGTTAAATTTAGTATAAAGTCATTTGCAGGGTAGAGCAAGAGTAGTACAAGTCCTTGTACTGTTTCTCAGAAGAAACAGCTGTATATTTTCTCATGATTTCCACAAGACAATTGGCTATCACAGACCATGTTGCTAATATACAAATAAGTGTTAAGATAACACAAATGTAATCTTGTTTAATAAGTTAAACTAACCATAGGCTGTCCAACTTCTGAAAATTTCACTTTTATATCTTTTAAGTATTTCAGGATAGGTTCATCATGTTCCTGAAAAGAAAACACAGTGTATTTAATTTTCATAACATTACATTATACACAGAATTAAGACCCTGTAGAAACAAAAATGTTTAGAATGAGTTTTCCTTAGAATAAAAACCTTGTTCCAGTACTGAAATACTGTCATGAACGTGACCAGCAGATGGCAACAATGGCTGTACAGACTCTCTAATGCAGCACACAACCAAAATCCATGCAAACACCACGTACAGTTTTTAGCCTTGTCTA